TTCATCTCTTCTTCTGGAATGCACCGCCTTATTACTCAATCAGCACATCTGTAGAAAAGGAAAGGCTTATCCCATAAGTATTTCTTGACATCATGTAAAAACTTCTTTCTTTGTTGCTATGTGAAGTCTACTGGAATTTCTCCTGCTGCTTTAAAATTTGCGAAATCCGCAAACCATGGAGGTGTATTTGTGTTCTTTACTTCCTTCAGTTGCGGATCCGAGATAACATTTATAGCTATAATTTGCTCATCGGGAAACTCCTCTCTGATCTTCAACTCAGGTCTGTCTTGAAGATCTTTTTCTTGAATTCGGTAGAGGTGATCAGCCACCAAGTTTTCTACACCTTTCTTGTCTCTGATCTCCACTTCAAATTCTTGAAGGATCAGCATCCACCTAAGTAATCATGGCTTTGCATACTGCTTATTCAAGAAATACTTTAAAGCAGCATGGTCAGTGTAAACAATTACCTTAGACCCCAGCAAATACGGTCTAAATTTATCAAAAGCATAAACAACTGCTAGTAACTCTTTTTCAGTGGTTGCATAATTCATTTGTGCATCATTAAGAATTTTACTAGCATAATAAATCACATGCAACAATTTATTCTTTCTTTGTCCTAAGACAACTCCTATGGCATAATCACTAGCATCGCACATTAATTCAAAAGGTAGTTTAAAATCAGGTGCAGTGATTATAGGTGCAGTGGTCAATCGATCTTTTAAAATATTAAATACTAACAAACATTCATCAGTGAAGTTGAATTCCTCATCCTTGACCAACAGCTTGCATAGTGGCTTTGCTATCTTGGAAAAGTCTTTGATAAAGCGCCTGTAAAAACTTGCATGACCGAGAAAACTTCGAATGCCTTTAACGTTAGATGGAGGGGGAAGTTTCTCAATAACAGATACCTTAGCTCTATCAACTTCTATACCATCTTTGGACACCTTGTGTCCTAAAACTATGACATTTTTTTACCATGAAGTGACATTTTTCCCAATTTAAAACAAGATTACTCTCTTGACATCTTTGTAAAACACAAAATAAATTTTCTAAACAAATGTCAAAAGAGGGGCCAAAAACAGAAAAATCGTCCATAAAGATCTCAATAGATTTTTCAATCATATCATAAAAGATGGAAAGCATGCACCTCTAAAAAGTTACAGGAGCGTTGCACAAGCCGAAAGGCATCCTCCGGTAAGCGAAGACTCCGTAAGGGCATGTGAATGTTGTCTTCTCTTGATCTTCTGGAGCTACTGCTATTTGGTTGTAGCCCGAGTACCCATCCAGGAAGCAGTAGAAGGCATGGCCAACTAGTCTCTCCAACATCTGGTCAAAGAAAGGAATTGGGAAGTGGTCCTTCCGAGTGGCTGCATTAAGTCTTCTATAGTCGACGCACATCCTCCACCCAGTGATTCTCCTTGTGGGAATCAACTCGTTGTTCTCATTTCTTACCATGGTAACTCCACCTTTCTTGGGTACCGTTTGTACAGGACTTACCCATGCACTATCAGATATAGGGTAGATCATACCTGCATCCAATAGTTGAACTACTTCTTTCCTAACCACTCTTTCATGGTTAGATTGAGTCTCCTTTACGGTTGCCTTACATGTTTAATATCATCTTCCATTAGAATTTTATGAGTACAAAAGGAAGGATTTATACCTTTTAGGTCAGAGAAAGACCATCCTATGGTAGCTTTGTGTTTCTTTAAAACTTTGAGAAGCTTCTCTTCTTCTGCAGTTGACAGCTCAACATTGATGATGACTGGATAAGTGTTGTTGTCGCCAAGGAAGGCATATTTCAGATTTGGAGGTAACTCCTTAAGCTCCACCTTCGGTGCTCCAAGAGGGATGTCATCTTTCTTTCTTTCTAATTCCCACACTTATTATAATTTTCCGGGATACTTCATCGGTACACATTTATACTGAGGAGCAGAACCAGTATCTGCACTTTTCGTCAAAAAAGCGACTTTCAGCATTATTAATCACTTATCATAATTATTTAAGCCTTCTCATAATTATTAGGGTCAATTATGGAATTATCTCATTAATCACATAATTAATTAATTTCCTAAATTAACGGTGCAGGTTCTTACACAAGGGGTCCTCGAGGATTTCTCCACCTCAAGCTCACTTACATGTGCAATATAAGTTCTAAAAGTAATATACAATATCAGTTCCAAAATCAGTGCAATGCAACAGATAATCATGTCATGTCTGTCAAGATATTCTACTGGCCGGAGAAATGCAGGATTTACATACGTCTATTGCCTACATTAGTGCAAGACGCCACTTGCACCCACCCGCAGAATCACCGTATTGTATGACGCCACATACTCAGGCTTACCGTCTAGATGGAACAACACATGCATATTATAAGGCCCTTGCACTTAACAGCTCAAAAGCATTTCAATCATCAAAACATGAAAACACATCATGCATATAGACCATTCCCCCATGGGGTATGGTGGAACCAACAATGGCTAAACCGAGGACACAAAAGCTTACCTAGCAAGCTAAACTATCCAAGCCAAGCTCACACTAGCTCAATGCCCACAAACAGCACAATCACAATCTGTTTATACAATAATTAATTATCAATAATCATTGCTCAAGATTCCATTAAGTGATTAAGGCTTTCCAACTCATTTTAAGTCATTTCATGCAAATTCTGCAGGAGGTATTCGAATACTCCCCGATGAGTATTCGAATACTCCTGGTCTCCAGAAAGTATCCGAATACTTTCACTCAAGTATTCGAATACCACAAGGTATCCGAATACTTTTCCCCAGTATCTGAATACCACCAGGTATCCGAATACAAATACCACAGTATTCGAATACTACCCAGTATTCGCATACTTATTCACGGTATCCGAATACTTTTTCTTCCCAGAAAAGTATTCCCATACTCCTCCAAGGAGTATCCGACTACTGAAGCATAAGTATTCGAATACTACACGAAAAGTATTCGAATACTTATCAGACAGAATGCATAAATTCGTGCATCCTCTGCATAAGTCCATATTTAAGGGTTCAAACGTGATTTGGAGTCCAATAACTCCATCAACAGAAGTTCATTGACATGTTTGAGACTCAGAAACACAGTCCTTAACTCAAATGATCCAAGTTTTACTTTTTAATGGATTAAACAAGCTTAAATCATAAAAATGACAAAAAGGTGATCATGGTATACCTCCAAGGCTCAAAACTCCGAAAATAACACTGACTTGAGCCTCCGACACAACTTCAAGGTGCTGACTTTAAGGAACCACAAAAATGCAACACAAGATGGGTCCTTTACATCAAAAGGTGGCTTCTTGAAGCCTAAAATGCCATGACAATGGCTTCACCCAACCCAACTCTCAAACTCAGCATAAAACCCCAACAACCAACAGCTTAAACCACAAAAATGAAACACCACACTCCCTCACAATGCCAACTACTTAGTGTTTACAAGGTTAGAGGTGGATAATCTCTCATAAAAGTGGTGGCTTGAGGGATTTTGTGAAGAAAAGGTAATGGCTTTGTGAAGAAGAAGAGAGACAGCAGCTCAGCACATAAGACCCACATAGGAAATGGCTGAGTATCAGCCTAGGGTTGTGTGCAAGTGGCTATTTATAGTCCATTTAATTTTAATCACACAATATTAGCACTAATAGCTACGCTTATCATTTTAATCTCAAACTTAGGATTCTGAACCTAGCCATTTTTCTAGAATTTTTTATATTTTTATTTTATTTTTCGCAGCACTTTGCCGATACGCGCTTTAACGAAGCCGGTATAAATTCTGACACCAGTTCTTATTATTTTGACTTGAAACTCGTTATGCTAGCCCTATATATTATTCTAGTGAAATATACACACTTTTCATAATTTTCCGGGATACTTCATCGGTACGCACTTATACCGTGGAGCAGAATCGGTATCTGCACTTTTCGTCAGGAAAGCGACTTTCAGCATTATTTCACACTTACTATAATTATTTAAGCCTTCTCATAATTATTAGAATTAATTATGGAATTATTTCCTAATTCTCATATTTAATTAATTTAATTTCTTAAATTAACGGTGCGGGTTCTTACATTGCTCGTGAGGAGTCTCAAGTGGGTGATACAGAATAGAGAAGAAGTGTTGTCATTTAACTACAGCTAAAATTATACAAAAGAAAAACTACAAAATAAACTAAGAGATCTCTTTTTAAGGAATTCGATGATGTTCTTCGTGCTGGAACGTGCTATTTATAGGCAGAGGAGTGAATGGCAAAGTGAGTAATTCCCTTGGAGTTGTTTTCTTGACTGCATGAAAGAGGCGGTGTGAACAGTGCTTTGCTGGATGAGACAATTATTGTTGAGATTTGTCTTTCCTTCTGATCATCCTCGTGCCTTGCTTTCCTCTTAGCCAATAGAAACCGTTTATTTCCTGTTGCGCACGTTTCCTCTTGCTTGATTGCTGCACCGCTTATGCTTTATGGAAACTTCTTTTCAACGTTTCCTGAAAAGTGGTCAGAGAGATTGAGTTAGTGAAGCAGGTGTATTTAATGTTCTCAATCTGTTCCGCATTTTATATATTTTTCAAAGGATTACGTCACCATATGTTCCCCATTGTGTTTTTGTCATAAAGATTTTAAACATGTGCTTTTAGTGCTAAAGTTGCTCATGGCTTATATGGGAACGAATTTTCGTCCCATCAAGGTGTAATTAAGAAATAAAAAACATTGTTTCCCAAAGTAATTGGAAAGTTGTTCAGAGCAATAAGCACAACCTCAGTGCCCATTTGTTACGCCACAGTGGTTTATAGGGTCAAACCAAAAGAGAAAGAACCCCACATACTCGCCCAGTTTGAAAGCTCAATCCCTTTATCAATAGTTGTTTGACTCTTCTCTTGTACCAGTACATGTTTTTTTTGCATTCGGTCTACATCTTCATTTGCATTAAGGCCATTCACTCATCCAACGCATATTCACAGCCACATTTAAACACTTTCTCTCTTTCTCTTATCTATATAACAAACTCTTCTCCTCCTCTCAAACCCCATCACCAAATCCTCAAATTCCTCATTTGCCCGTCACACATTATATTCGACCTCTCTATCTTTTTTTTCCTTAACATAATCAGAATATTGGTATATCCATAGATGCAGTGAGCATACCCATGTAGAAGCACAAAATGGGACCCATTGGTAATCCATTGTTACAAGCCTTTTCAGGTGAACTACACGCCAAAAGGGGAAAAAATGAAAAAGAGAAGAGCAGGAAATACATATGATGAAAGAAAAATCGTGGAAGGAATTTAACTTGCATTATGTGTCTTTTTTCTTTACTTTTGTTTAAACTTCTCAAGCTTGGTTATGCATGCTTGCCTTGACCATATATGAACCTAGCTGCTCCCTCGGTGTATACATGAGTTTCATTGTCCAGCCTACCAATAGTCTTTGAAAGCATGTCAATAATAGAATATTTGAGGAGAATAACTATAAGAAGATAGGGCTATAATTTCGCTTACGAAGTGCGAACAACTTTGCACAAAGTTGAGGTTGATGAAAATGTTTTCCGGTCAAGATATCTATTTTCCCCTTTAGTCCTCTGCCTCATTCTGATGTCTACTTCTTCAGCACTCAGGTCCAATGGTGAATCTGAAGCCTGGTATATTCCAAGGACAAAGGTAAACAACTTTTAGATTTGGTAAGGTACAACTTAACTCGTATGTATACATTATTGAGTGCTTCTAATATGACTTCTTGTTATGGACCAATTAAATGGTCCTTACTTTTATCCCCACTGCATGAAGCACTTCACTCTCCTATTTTCTCTCAACTTTCCTCCACTACATATAACCACCCATTATGAGCACCACTTCTCTAACTGCTAGTGCACTTTATCTATATATAGCTCTCTATATAGCAAAGGATTAAAAGGGGGAATACAACATCTTTACAACCTATTAATGTTCATTCCAGAACATTTGGCGCCGTCTGTGGGAACTGTGGGAACTGAACTGTAAAGTTCTAATCCCACCTCCATTCACAAATACCCATTGGAGAATATTTCACGCTAATGACGAATAACACTGCTAGTCCATCCAACTATGGCAGAAGCCAAATGGCTTCATGAAGGAGAAAAAAAAAAAAACATTGTCTGCAATTTATCTCATTTGCTGATAGAATCATCGAGTTGATTTCCACGCCAGATTTCTAAAGCTAAGTCTCTTTTGCTTTTCAACATCTTTATCCCATAACTCTAAGTTTTTGCAGATTTAAAAAAAAAAAAAAAGGTCTTAGACAACTACACCCACGATATGCAATTATTTTTCTTTAAACTTTTTTGATCTGTTAACTACATTGTCACTGAACTTTTCTTGCTCTTCATACTAGCTCGGTTGTGTTTTCCTCTACTTTACCTAAACTAATGCTTCAGTTTAATTTTTTATAGTGATCGAGGGTCTTTTCAAAGTTTTTAAAACTGTTCGGTTTTGTCAAGACTGATTTGCTTTCGAGGCATCTTTCCCCATCCTTAGCATTGTTATTAAGGCGTTAACAGCAACACCCTCATGCTAAATGCCGGGAAACATTGGATATACCCATCGAGCACCGTCCAAATCATCAATGCAAAAGTCGTGCCTCGCCACCCTCCGAGTTTGGGTCTCGATCTACAATCAGAATTATTTCCTCACGCATGCATCAGTGATACCATAATTCCAAAATTGCGTTAGATGTTCAAGTATTCATAGAAAAGCTTATAAGATAAGTGATAACTTTTTCCTTATTTATAAATTAGCTACTCTTTTTAGATTTGAATAGATAAAATAAATATGAATGGAGAAAACACGATAAGTACCACGTCTTAGCAAGATAACACCATACCTGTTGAGGTGCTCTTTTCGCAAACAATTCCATAAATTTTGGTTGCACGTTCTTAACATCTTCAAGTAAAATTACAATTTATTTTGAGTATTCCTAGTTTGATTTTATATCTACCAAAATTACAAAAAATAACATTGAGGCACTGATCCCCAACCACAATAACTAGTAAGGATGCAAACGTGATTTCTAGTCAAGCCCGGTAACCACTCTGACACGTCCACTTTTTGATTCTATATATGTCCTATGCACATCCTATCCACTTCCCTAATCCAATGGCATTCCTTTCACGAGTTATAAATAAGTTTTTATGTTGAAATATTAATAGATAACATTAAAAATTAGTACTTTTAAATTTTATTTCAAAAATAAAAATGAACATCAACAAGCATCTTCATGTGGACAGTTTTTCATCCATTTATATTGCTTGAAAATTACTACATGCTTTGATAATTCACTAGGGTGGGGGAGCATGTGTGACTTAGGCATTATTATTTATTAGGATGGGAGCCATATTTTACCATTCTTAACCGCTCTTTTTTAACTGCTCTCTGAATTTTATATGTGGGACTATTCTAAGGACAGAGCTGGCCTACCACCAATGCGTTGCTGATACTGATACCGAACCTGACCTGTTCCCGAATAAGAAACAAGCAAAAGAAGTTTCGAACGATGAAGTGCGCTCGGAGGTTTCCAACCCCAACGTTTCTGCAACAGAATATGCGCTAGCTTTTCAAGATATCAATAGCTGTAACACCCCGTTCTAGAACCGGTTTGTTAACATCGCATTATGATATTAAGCGCAGTTACAATCACATGGGTTCAATTAAAATCCGGATAAATTTTTCATTTTAAAACGTACCGAACTTATAATACCCAATTTCGTGATCATAACCATATTACCTTGCGGAAACAGATAAATTAAGCTTAACATCATGTTCATTTTCCATTTTTAAACCATTAATTTACTTCTTGTTTAGTTCAAAACTTCTACTATATTGTAGGTTTCTTCATTAGCTACCCGTGGCTTCAAACCGTGCTCAAATCGGAGCACTGTATCCCAAGTTAGGACAATTTGAAGCAACACAAGAGAGTGTTGGTCACAGGCCCCGCGCGCTTCAGCGCGCTACCGGGCGCTCAAGCGCGCGCTATCGAGCGCTAAAGCCTCCATCTGGGCGCTTAAGCGCACGGAGGCAGTAAGCATCAGGCATTCCAGTGTGGATGGGCGCCTAAGCGCGCATCATAGCGCTCAAGCGCGCTACCCTGGGCGCTTAAGCTCCCACTGGGACGTTTTAGCGCGTAGAGACAGAAGCATCTCCTCCCTCAGTGGCTAAGGGCGCTTAAGCGCGGACCAGGGCGCTCAAGCGCGCAACCCTGGGCGCTTAAGCCCCACCCTGGGCGCTAAAACCCGAGGGGACAGTAAGCATCCCATCTTTCTGCAGCGAAGGACGCTTAAGCGCACGCCAGGGCGCTCCAGCGCGCAATCCTGGGCGCTTAAGCCCCCACTTGGGCGCTCCAGCGCGAGGAGGCAGAATGCATTGGCACTCGCAGGGGCAGCAGGGCGCTTGGGCGCGCTCCTGGGCGCTTAAGCGCGCTGCCAGGGAATTCCAATTCCCACATTTCTCAAGTCCAAACCTAGGGGAAAATGCATCCCCATTACAAACCCCAATTGTCCATGCCCCAAAACTAAATCCTAGCACTCATCCAACCTCTCCTCATGAGATTTAGCTAGAATTTGGGCAGCATGACCTTTGTTTTCTCATCGTTTACCAGTTTAAACAAAAGGGTACCTAATTGATTTTCAGCCCAACCAATTCAACAACTCAATACATAACAAGCATACAAATATTGAATTTCAAGTAGGCATCATTTACATTACATATCCTTTACAAATCATAGAACTTAGCTTACAAAACACTATGATCATTCCCTTGGCTCCCATCAACAAAAGGTGCAACCAAAGGCATGAGCATAGGCTAAGTTCATCCAATGAGTCAAGATATACAAATGACCATGGGCTTTCAAAATAAAATCCTATACATGTCAACTACAAAAGGCATGCATAAACTCAAAAGAAATGCCACATTTCATGCATAATCCAGATATGGCCACTTGCCACCAGAGGCTCCTGCAGCATCCTTACCTGAAAGGGGGTCCCCACAACACGGGGTGAGATATACGAATATATCCAGTAAACCAGGGGTCCTTGGAGCATCTCTCCACCCCACAGTTCCATATCAGTGTAATAGCAATAACAATAATAATGCAGTAAATACATATCTATGCAAAGTGCAATAACATCTCCAGGAGAAATCCCTCGAGCTCTCAAGCTGTCCTAAGGAAACTCAGATGCAAATAGTCCTACTGGCCAGCTAACTACCAAGTATGATTTACGCATCGTCATGCAACATACCAACATAGGGAAACACCATCCTATGCCACATCAAATGCATACACATACGTATAACAAAGCATTACACTATTTTATTGCATTTATATACACAATCACAACCTCCACCCTTTCAGGGCTTGGTAGAACCGTCAAGGGAATTACACCCAAGGTCCGAAGGCTTACCTCAATGCTTCAGTCGACCTTTGTTCTTCACCAATGTCAATAATACTCTACTCCAAAACCAACACCTACACATGGTGTAATGCAATCAACACATTGCATCCAAGAGTATTTCACAATCAACCATCAACTACTCAATTCAAGACACAACACAAGTATGAGCTTACCAATTACAATGAGCTATTCAAGCTCCATAGCTTGCTCCAATGGTTGATCACTCACGGTTGGTCCAAATGTCTCAATCCTAGACATCATTAGGACACAATCATCAATCAACCAAGTCATACCATTCATCAACAATGCAAGAAATCCAATATCAAGCATCATATTCTTGCCATTTTACAAGTATACTCATTTAGCTATCTAAGCTCATTTTCACCGATTAAATGATATTCCTAGCATTTTCCATAACATGCTCTAAGCTCCATTCTTCCTAGAACATAGCTAATTTAACTACATTTCATCAAAATCCCAATTTACTATTCATAAACCCTAACTCATGCAAATTTCAAGGAATCATGAGGTTCAAGGGTTAGAATCTTACCACCAATGGTCACACAACCAAGCAAGGAGTGTTCCTCAAGCTCCCACGGAGGTTGAACTTCCCAAAACCCAAAAATCTCTCCAATGGCCAAATTTTTGAGAGGCAATATCCCTCTCCACAATGCTCCCCACTCAAAACAAAGCTTGGATTATGAAAGAGGGCGAGATTCTAAGCGATTTAGGCTTTTGAATCACCCAAAACCGTTGGGATTTTGCTCTCTCTCTCTCTCTCTTCTCTCTCTCCCTTTCTCCTCCTTCTCCTTCTTCTTCCTTTCTTCTCTGTTTCTGTCGACGGGAAAGTGGGGGTTTGGGGTTCATCTTTTGGCTTTTAGTCACTTAACATTGGTTAAGTGGCTTTAAGCGGGTATTGGTTCATCTATCTATTCAACTCCAATAATTACCAAACTTTAACCAAAAGTCTGGAATATTATTCTAGGAATATTACTATTTTTATTTTTATATTTGGGTACTTTTGCCAGTACTCATTTATACCCCTTAATTTTCACTGAGTACACTTTTTAACTCCAAAGTGACTCAGATTCATTTAATTAAGCCTTATACTTAATTTCACTCACTAAAACATGTTTAATTAATTAATTACACTAGATTTACTAATTAATTAAGTTGGGCTATTATAATCACCCCACCTTTTAGCGATTTTGTCCGCAAAATCAAGAACGTACCTGTCCT